TCCAAAGCCAGGTAGGAGAGAACAAATAAACTGGGAGAGTCCAAAGCCAGGTAGGAGAGAACAAATAACCATGATATTTCCAGCACAGTATGAAAATAGATGTGAATGTGTGCATATGCACGGCACTAATGTTGCCCTTACTGAGCTTGATAGAATTGCTTATTATTGCTGAAACCTCCAATTGTGAACAATTAAAGAGAAGTTCTTTGCCAAATGTAACTGAACTGGATTTTCTATACCCGACAATCTGCTGGAGTCTGTGGGTTTGGTTTGTTTGGGTTTTTTATGGTTGGTTGTTTGTTTCTGAGGCTAAACTTGGTAACCTTACTGTTCTTGTGGCAGGAAGGAGAGATGCAGGTGAAAAAGGGGCAGAAGAGGAAGGGAGAGTTAATTGAGCAGTGTCTAGATGAAGTCACTGATTGTCACATTCACATTTTCTGGAAAAAATCCCTTCACCCAGGATTTTTCTCCTGGGAAGCTGAGAATTCTCAGAGAAAAGGAAAACAATTATTACCTCATTTGCTTCTCCTGTGTTGTGCTCACATGTGGAATGTGTTTGGAGATTGTTTACCCACAGGTGATTGTTCCACTGGATTCTGCTGTGAGTTGTTTTCACTCATTGGCCAATCAGTGCCAAGCTGTGTCTGGGCTCTGGAAAGAGTCACAAATTTTCATTATTATCTTTTTAGCATTCTGTAACTGTGTATTCTTTAGTATAGTACGGTATTCTTTAATATAATATGGTATCTTAAAATAATAAAAAATAATAAACTTCTGAACGAGCTAACTTCACAAACACCAGAATAAGAAGTTCTTTGCCTGTGCATGAGTGTTTTTTCTCTGATGGCATGCTCTGTCTCAAGTGTTTTTCTCCAGATAGGGCATAAGTTCTCTTTCCTGGAAGCACTTGAGTTTTAAAAAAGGCAGAAGTATGCTCCGAAGCTTTTCTCTCAGTGGAATATGCAATGTGATAACATAAAGATCTCTCTCCTCTTCCCATCTGTTTAGTGTCACAAAACTTGTGGGAACATAATATCTCCGAGGCCATATCCCTCTGTCAAATTTTGTTAAAATTGAGGAATGTGTTCCAAAGCTATTGGAGGAGATAAACAGTGTGAAGTTAGAATCCAGATTTCCTTAGGATCAAGGGGAAAAAAGAAAAAAAAAAAAAAATCAATGTTCCATAGCTCTGTGACAGAAAAGCAGTTTTACATCATTAGAAAAATTCCCTGCTAGGTTTACAGCATCTGTGAGTTATGTGAATGCTGGGTTTGTCTCCCTGGCTTTTTGTTCAGGTGGATCAATGTGGTGTTTGCTACCTGGGCTTCAGGAGCTGCTCTTGAGACATTCTGGTTAATGGTAACTCTTGTCACATCATCAGCATTTGGGGGAAAAAGGAAACATTGAGCAGTAGTCCCACTTTCCTAGTCTCTGATGGCTAAACTGGAGATGGCACCATGAGCACTTACATAAAAACCCCCATATTTTTTATTTATGCTTTCTTTTCCAGGTAAAATATTACAGCTGAAAATGCAGTCATAGAAGGAACCAAAATATGAAGTCACTCTATTCATTGGTTTGGTCTCTCTGTTTAGTAATTATAGATCTTGGTTGAAAATTAGCATTTTAAAATCTTGACTCTTAAGAGGCTATTGCACCATGAGAATGGTTAGCAAATTATATATATAACTTAAATAAGTTACATCCAAACTGGAGATGCTACCATAAGCTCTTATACATAATAAAAACCTATTGTTTATTTAATTTTTCTTTTCCGAGTAAAATATTACTACTGAAAATGTGGTTGTAGAGGGAACCAAAGCGTGCAAAATATTATTGGTCTCTCTCTTTAGTAATTACAGATTTTGCTTTGAAAATTAGCATTTTAAAATCTTGACTCTTGAGAAGCAATTGCACCATGAGAACGGTTAGCAAGTTATATATATATAACTTATATAAGTTACATCTAAAGTGGAGATGCCACCATAAGCACTTATACATAACAAAAAAATCTATTGTTTATTTATTTTTTCTTTTCCAGGTAAAATATTACTGCTGAAAATGCAGTCATAGAGGGAACCAAAATATGAAGTCACTCTATTCATTGGTTTGGTCTCTCTGTTTATTAATTATAGATTTTTGCTTTGAATATTAGAATTTTAAAATCTTGACTCTTAAGAGGCTATTGCACCACGAGAATGATTAGCTAGGGAAAATTAATAAATGAAGGTGGCTTAGGAAATGTCATCGAGCACAATTTCCAACTTCCACAATTTTGGTTTGGATGAATGAAGTCACTCTATTCATTGGTTTGGTCTCTCTGTTTAGTAATTATAGATGTTGCTTTGAATATTAGCATTTTAAAATCTTGACTCTTAAGAAGCTATTGCACCATGAGAATGGTTAGCTGGGGAACATTAATAAATGAAGATATTTCAGGAAATGTCATCGAGCACAATTTCCAACTTCCACAATTTTGGTTTGGCTTGGTTTGGCTGCTGTGTCTCAGTTTCACTAATTTTATGGTGATTGTATCTTTTCTCCATTAAATGACTGCATTCTCTTTCTTATTATCTTTTCACTATTCAGTAAATTTGAGGGTTTTTCCCTTTTCTCTCCTTGCTCAAGCTACCAGGAGCTCCTTCACCAACCTGAATTGGGCAGTGGCTGAAGTCACCCATCAGATGATGTCGACCATGGAGGTGCACACGAAGGGTGAAGGTTTCCCTCTGTCCCCAAACTCCAGGTGAGGATGTGTGGCTGCTTGGCCACTGCCAATGGAATCCCTGCCTTGGTTTTCCACTGCTGGAAGGGATCCATGGCTCTGCTGCAAATGTTTTGCCAGGTATAATTTACCTTCTCTTACTAAGGAAGCAACAGTGGCTGTTCAACAATGCAAATGGAGATCATCAGCATAATGATAGTTCTCTCAGCATTTGAAAAATTACATGTTTGATTTTTTTTTTTACAATTATAATGAAAGTATTAATAGACCTTAATAACACCAAATAACAGTTCTTTCTATACTTTCAGACAAAAAAAGACCTCTCCAATATTTTATAGATTTTTTTTTCCTCCTGGATTCTAAATCTCCTAAAGTTGAAGAAACATGTTCCTCCTATTTAAAAGAAACATGTAAAATTGTATGCACTGAATGATTTTTGCCTCTTTCTTGAAAGCTGGATAAATAATCTTGGCAATTGTTTTGGAACTTGAATTTTGTGAGCTACTGTGGCTCAGTGTCAGCCATCATTTATACAAAGGTTCAGTTTTGGGAAATACTTCATTGCAAGGAATTTTTCCTGTAAGAAAACCACTGAGGACACAGAATGTGTTTTAAATTGATTGCTGTATCTTCCCAAGATCTTGGGCCTGAGGACTGATGGCCAGGACATTTTGGTTTATCATGTTTCATACACCCAAGGGACAAATCCCCTTCAAGGGCTATGCAATCCTTGCTGTAATTAAGGAACAACCACTAGAAGAATATTAAAAAACAGAACCACACTCTAAAGGCAGAGGTTGCTGAGGTGCATTTAAGGAAACAGTGGTGCATCAGCCACTGATACAAATACCCTGAAATATTTATTTAAAAAAACAACTGTGTTAGTCATTTGGATTGTGCTTTCTCACCTTAGAAAGATGCTGGTGCTGCTTCTCTTTGCACAGCAGAATTCTCAGCAGCAGAAAATGCTTTTGTGCAATAAACTTTTTTCTCCTTTGAGGCACTGCAATGTTTCTCTCAGCTTTGGTTTTTTTTAGTTTTATTTTGGGGTTTTTTTGAGGCTGAAAGCATAAATAAATATTTTTCTTTTCCAGTGGATAATATTAGTTATTCCACAGATGCATGTCTTTGGGAACAGCCTGCTCCAGTGTGGATACAGGAGGAGCTTCCAGCAGCTCCTTACAGAAGCCACCCCAGTAGCCCCTTCTGCTGCCTTAACCTTGCCATGCAAACCCAAACCAGAATTCCAGAACAGAATTCCCAGCTTTTATGAGCTCTTTATTGAAAAGCTTTCAGCCCTTGCTCAAAAAGAAATTAAAAAATGTCCAAAGGGTCACACATGTTGGGTTAGCTCCACTTTTGTGGCACCTCACAATGCACTGTCAAACTCTGAATTTTTGTCAGTTCTCTGCCCTTGGTGACATCTAGCAATGGACTTGAGGGTTTGTCATATTTTCAACCCATTAACAAATGGCCTCTCCCACTGGACTTATAAATTGTGTTGGCTCCAGTGAGTTCAACTCATTAGAGTGTTTGCTTATCCTCTAATAAGGATAATTTTCACGTGCACATCCTTTCTCCATCTTATTTATCATCTGCAGTCTGTGGCTTTTCTAGTCGCTAATCAGAGCCAGCAGAGGTTTGGTAATGTGTGGGGTTTTATTGCACTGCTGGAGCTGCAGCAGCACTCAGATGCTGCAGTCAGTGATTTATCTGAGCAGGTGGTGCCAATTTCTCTGTTGTTTCTACCTGCAAACAATTGGAAATCAATGGTGTGTCTCGACCCTTTTGTGGATAACACTGATTGTCTTGTCTGTAAAAGCTGCTTTTGTTTGTCTCTGCCTCGGGACCAGATGGGCCATTCTGCCTCAGATGAGATGTTTGGATTTTTTTGAGGCATTTTAGATCCAATCTTCCAGTGTTTGAGGACCCTTTTTTATGCAATATCATTATTTTTCCCAAACCTTTTTATTATATGTAGCAGAGTACCCAAAGAAACTAACCTAAAGCACCTTTTCTTCTGCTCTGATAGAGAACTGATTTGCACCAAGGCTGACTGACTGTTTAATCTGAAATTAGTCACAAAGTTCTAATGAATCTTTATGGGAAAATTTCTTCCTCAAGTTTCCTCAGTGCAGTCTGGGTTAACTCATGTACAGGAGAGAAGCAAAGAAAAATGGTTCTGCAGAGCAGCTGCTCCTGAATTAGCTTGGCAGGACCTAAAGAGGTAACCTCTGTCTGCAGCTGTACAGAGGAGCCAGCCTGAAATCCCCTGCAGCTGTAGAAAGTTTCACAGCTTTACCCATTCTCCATGAAAATCAGAGACAATTTAAGTTGTCTTATTAAATTAAATTAAAGACAAAAGGGGCAAAAATGGCTGTGTGAGTGAGTGAGTGAGTGAGTGAGTGAGTGAGTGAGTGAGTGAGTGAGTGAAAGTAAGTTTGTGGTGGAGTGTGAGGAGGGAAAAGAGCTGTGAATAAAGAAGATATTTGTAATTTCAGTGCTCATTTTAGATCAGGAGTTCGCAGAGCTTTTTGTGACCCAGGTTTCCTAAGCAGCTTTCTATAAGGGTGAAGCTTGGAGGATGCTGATGGATTGGTGGGAATGTGCTGCTCCACAAAGTGCACAGAGGAAGGTCCACAGAGCCAGTTCAATTGCAAAAGCTGACAAATAGTTTGCAGCATGCCTGCTGCTGAGACAAGACCTGTGCTGCTTGTGGAAATGGCAAAACAAACAAGTGGCCAGGTTCTGCTGTGCGGGAGGGGATTTTAGGGAAAGGGAATTGACATTGCTAACTGTCCTGATCTAAAATTGGCATTGAAATTGTAGATATCTCTCATTCACAACTCTTTTTCCTCCTCACACTCCACCACAAACTTACTTTCACTCATGCACACACTTACACCCGTTTTTACCCCTTTTGTCTTTATTTTAATTTAATAAGACAATTGTGCTGGCTGTGATAGCACCCTGTGAGGGGAGATGGAGTGTGCTTAGCCAGCTGTTTAACAGGAACATGAAACCTTGTCTGGGTGAAAAATGCTGATGCTTTTATCGATAGGGCTCAGTAAACTGTAAAGGAGATGCTGCCATCCATTTTCGGTGCTATAAATGCACACCTTAGCTCAGTTAGTTTAAAGCTGTGCTGCACTAATCTGTATTTCATTTCCCCAAACTTGTCTCAGCTAGTTTGAGTTTTTCAGCTACTCCCCTCAGATCTTTGTGGTAAATTTTAATACTATGCAGTATTTTAGTTTTTGAGGGTAGGTTAAATATTGATTTTTGCATTAGAAAACAGAGCTGGTGAAGGAATATTCTACAAAGATACTCTTTCAAAGTGATTTATCTGACGCGCAGAGTTTGTGTTGAAGAAATCATGGTCAGTGAAAAAACAAGATGCCAGCAAAATCCCAGGCAGTGGATTCAGCTGGAATGTGCTTGTTGTCCTTGCAACGTGACACTGTGGAGATCAAAAGCAGCAGTGGGTTCAAGAAGAGATTAAGTAAATTAATTAAGGATGGGATTGCTAAACCATCTCCTGAGTTCTGGAAAGTAGATTTTGCTACCATTTCTGTCTCTGGATGGTTCTACAACCAGAGAAACTGAACACAATCTCTTGGATATTCCTGAGAACGTGGTTAAATTGCTTTGAACCTGCAAAAAAATGTAGATAGCTAAGTTGTCAGCATCTGCAAAAGCATTTTGCAGAAATGATTTTGTATCTGACACACCTGACCTTTATTTGTCAGAATATTGACTTGGACACAAAAGACTTTCAAACACTGGTCGAAAGTTCAGTGTGATTTTATTTATAGATGATCGTGGGTTTCAAAGAAGAAGAGACATTATTTTGGCAAAAAAAAGACTAAAAATTTTAATTGGGAAGACAATAAAGTAAACATAATATAAATATTTAACAGAAGTATTCCCATAAAAGTAAAATATTACCATATTTAAAGTGAGGAATACTTTATCTATCTGTTTTGAAGCATTAGGAATTACTGTAAGAGTAAAACAAAGAATAGATAAATAGGTAAAATGAAAACTTCACTCACTGGGTTTTTTTCTTTAGGTTTTCCATAACATGGAGCAGCTTACATAGAGAAATTCTATTTTCTTTAACCAGGTTTATGGTTAAAGAAAAATGCTTATCCCAGCTTGTATAAGAGACAAATAATAGAATGGCTCTTAAACCAAAATCTTTAATCAGCATTGTAATTGCCATCATTATTATAACACCATTTTATTAATTCCAGGGTTGGTTTCACTGGGCTTCTTTGCTGAAGAAAATTCCTTCAGCTGCTGGATTTGGCTGAGGGGCCCTGGTGCTTTTTCCAGAACCATTCACCTCAAATCATCTCTGGGAGGTGTTCTAACCCCTTTGGCTGGAGATTCTCTCTCTCCCTCTCTTTGCAGCTGCTCAGTTTTGTATAAATATTTAAATATTGACTGGAAAAGGTGTTGGCTTCTCAGGTGCTGCCCCTGCCAGCCCAGTGCCCTGACCCCAAAGCTATAAACTCATTTTCAATGCTCTCTATTTGTCCCAATGAATATTTCAGGGTTTCATGTAAAATTGAACAGTGAGAAGAGAACTGACTTTGGGAGATCTCTTGCAGCATGGAAACAACGTTCCTGCTGTCCTGGGAAAGAGGGAGAATGAAGTTCATCGTGGAACATTAAATACAAGGTGAATTTAAGCAAGAGTCATCTCACACCCCACAGAAGAGTCACAACTTTTTTCAGCTCAACTCTAAGGGAGTTTCTTGCTGCTCTTTGTGCCTTAATTTTTTTTTTTTTTTTTTTTTTTTTTTGCCAAGTCCACTTGGGATTACTTTTATTTTTTCCAGAAAAACAAAATTAAATCCTTGTTGATTTGTTGGAAACTTGAAAACATTTTAGCGCTAATGCAAGAAAGATTTCTTTTATTTGGAGGCTGTAACTCTCACATTATGGACTGATGTGCTGTTGCCTTGCAACCTGCTCTTGAAAACTGTCCCCAGGCCAAGCACCAAGAGCAGAAGAAATGAGATTTTATAGTGTATAAATGATATCTATTGTAATATACAGTGTATAAATCCAGAACTACATTCCCATGCCTAATAATATCTTGTGTGTGTATGAAATTATAAAAGGAAATTAGGTAAATGAAAATACCGTTCACATTTTCATGTGTTATCACAAAACCATAGTATTAAGCATTCAAGTGTTTTTTGGTAACTTTTAATTTCTTCATTTCCAGTGTTCTGCCAAAGCTGCCCACAGTCTGTTGTTCCTGTCCTATATAGAAAAATAGAGGTAAGAGGATTAACAGCTGAAAAATTGAATCATAGCTTTAGCTCAATATCAAGAAATAACTCTTGGGAAAATTGAGTAGGATGTGTTTTTTAAATTTTGAATTTAAAAACCGAATCAAATCTTTATGTCATCTGTAATTTGACATCAGCTATTTGCATGTATCCCTATTTACAGACAGATGTGTTTACAGGTAGGAACAACTTCCTGGGTACTTTTTCTTGTTGCTATCTTGCATTTTGGAAAATCTGCACTTTTCAGTTTTCTAAGCTTTTTATCTGCTTTTATTTTCAAGTTAGTGAAATGCATTCTTCTGTGAGGAAAGACAAATTTACAAAGGAAAAAAACCCAAAACCATTCATAAGGACTAAGAATACTGAGATTATACTTGAAAGTGTATTTTGGACAGGGACTTCATTTCAAGAGCCTAATTTGCCTCATGAGTGCCTGTTACCTCTTTTGGAATACACTGGCTTTTTTTCATGAAGTGAATTAATAAATGTTTGTCTTTCTCAGCTCTGTCCAGCTAAATCAAGATCGCTACTTTTCCCTCTTCCCTGGAGAAACCTGAGGAAGAAAAGTGTATTTTTCCTCTGGAAAGCTGCTCCCAACTCTGGTTAGCTGGAGGTGAGAAATTCTGCACAATCCATGCTGAGCGGGGCGAGGTTAACTGGGAAACAATTCATTTTGCTGAGAAATAATGTGTTTAAAATGGGCTTTCCCAGCTCTCTGTGCTCACAAGTGGCTGCATACACCACTCAGAGGTGGAGTTTTCCCATTCCTTTGGGCTCCTTGTGGCCCTTTCTACCTGGGCAGATGGGTGTAAAAACCAACTGATGGCACTTTGCACACTGAGCATGGGCTGGATGACACTTTTTAAACAATTGTGTAAAAGCACATTTGGTGTAATTTTGTCCTCTGAATGAAATAAAATATAGAGGAGCGCTGACAAATGTCTAAGATGCACATCAGTAAGATTAAATGGTGATTTTTAAAGAGCAATTTTAATTGCTTACAGTTGCAAATAGTTTAAATATTGCACTCACCTCCACATCCAATAAATGCACTGAGTAATTTTTTTTCACTAATCAAGGAAAGGTATTATTGAAAATACTCCAATATATAAATATTTACAAACAATTCAGATCTAATTCAATCTGACTAATTTCCTTGAGGTGCTTTTGTGGTTTCTTGCTGTGTTCTTTAATTGAACACAGCCATAGGAGAGAGGAGAGCAAACTCCAGACTTCTTTACCTCCCATGTAGCAAAACTTATTTAGAAAAGAAATTTAAACGGCAGAATAAAGTAGTGTCCAAGAATATTACGTGCTGTTGGTTGTTATTTACAAATGAATGGAGATGGGGTAGATTTGAACTAGTGTTATGAGTTATTTATTTAGCACATTAGTTTTAGTACATTGTTAGGACAATGGAGACAGAACGTTAATAGCTCTCTGATTTAAGGGAAATGTTAAGGGGGTGTGGTATTACAGCATAGTATAAAACTATTTTAGTTTAGATTTTAGTTAATCATACTTAGAGTAAAACATATTGATAAGAATTTTATTTAATCATATGATACACACGTAATGGTAATTAAAATAAAGGTTCGTTAATGAGAGTCAAAGAGATCTATTTATACTAACTTTCTAAAGATACACATTAAATAACTTTGTTGTAATTTATAATGCTAGTTCTATAGAGGTTTCTTGTGTTATTTGTTATGTCTGCTTTATTGCTTAGAAAACTTTTCGCTGTATTTGCAATGTTCACAAAACTTCTCTCAAGGGCTTGTCTTTTTTAACTGTTTTCTCAAAACTCTCTAACTTTATGAATCTCAGCAATTAGAGAGTGAGAAGAGGTGATGGGAGTACTGGAAAGCATGGTGCTTTTCAAGTTGGAATGTTTGGGAATGTTAAAGAAGCAAAATTGTTTTACCCTGATGCTGGAATATTGTTTGGCATCTGGTAAGCTCTGTCCAGTCATCTGTATTTAGGTACATTAAATATCCAGGAGCTTGTCTCTTTACAAACTGTAGGCAGGTTAACTCTTTATGCTGGAGATGCTTTGATCTGGTGCTCCCAGCAGTTTCAGAGGAAGCAGGAGGCGCGGGAGCCCTGCTCAGCCTGGCTGAGGCAGATCCTGCTTCAAAGCCTGCAAAACCTCAAGGAGAAATGTTTTCTGTCCAACAGAACGTTTTTCTGCCTGCTAACAGCCAATTTGGGTGAATCTGCTGTGTGCTCCAGCTCCCAGAAACAGACAGCAAATGTGTTTCAGGGAGAGGAAGAAACTCTCCTTTGAAAGGCTGTTTTCATCTCGGGTGCGTGTTTCACCCATGGGCTCGGGTTTGGAAACAAGTGAGCACAGCTTTTCCTCAGTGCAGCCTTAGATGGTTTCTTCTGAGAGGTGACAACTACACCTACACCAGCCAGAATTGCTATTTCATGTCCCTTAGAACCTGTCCTCATTCAGCTCTCTTTCACTGCTGCAAGCTCCTGTTCAGCTCCTTCTCATGTCACTGGAAGCAGAATTTTGTCCTGCTGCCTGCAGTGGTGGCACCTACAAAATAAACATCTGCTTTTTCAAAATGCTTCAGTTTACTATACCCTTTACAGTAATAAAGCTAATGATTTTCTGTGCTGCAGGCCCACATTTGAATGGCTGAATGCTGCAGAATCTTGGAAGGGCCTGTGTGCAGAGTAAACCACATAACAGGTGAGGAACAAGGTGTGTGATATCAAACCATCAGCTTGGTTTCCACTTTCCTGCCAGATTTTGCCACTGAAATTGCTCTCTAACTGCTCAGTGATACATCATGCCTGAAAATGCTGTTTAATTCCTGAATTTAGCCACATCTACAGCAAATGCCTCCTTTTCCATGATAGATTATGAGTTTATACCAGCATTAAACTCTTAAGGGATATACACAGGGAGGTAAACACCCCTCAACTTCTCATTTATTAAAATTTCCCCATTGCATCCTTTCCATGTGTATTCTGAAGAGATCAGCTCACTTTAGCTGGCAGTAGACTCAGTAACATTTTTTCCCTGCTATATTTTTATTCTAAGTCAAAACATGTGCATTTGAAGTACATTCATTACCAAGAGTTCAACATTCAAGAGCAGTCTTAAAACAGAAAGATGTTGTGCATGAAAAAGAAAAATGAAGGGATAAATTAAAAAAAAAAAAAAAAAGTAAGTAGTGTACCTTAAGATCTAAAATTAAATGATTGCTTTTCTTTTGCTTTATATGCAAGAAATGTAAAACCACCTCTGAGGTTCAATTAACATTTTACCTTTCTGTGTGAACGTTTGTAGACAGAAAATTGCTACAGTTCCTGATGGGTTGTATGTGGCTCTGAATCATGCAGCACAGTCAATATTAGTCCTGGAAATCATAGCAATAAATAGAGACTGTCTAGGCAGTATAAAGAGAAAGAGAGGACGTTCTCTCATAATCAAAAGGGGTTTTTTTTAAATTATGAGCCTTTTTGCCTCCTCTTTCATTAACCAAGGCATTTCATCTAGCTCTGCTTTTTCTCTTCTGGGATAGGGGCAGTGTGATTATACCTTGTTTTCTCACTGGTTCTCATTTTTGAATTGGCAAAATTCATTTTTTCTTACATTATTGAGAGCTGTTGGACTGGCTCTGAAAAGAGCAGATTCCTCTACAGTTATTTCTCAATTGGTGTAAAAGGATTCTAGTTTTTCTGTTAAATATTTATGTGGTATTGCTATTAATTTGAGGCTTAAGGTACATTTTGAATAGTTTTTTTTCCTTCTTTTTAAGATATTTAGGTAATTTCACGACATATCTCTATGGCCAAGAAATAAGATAATCTTCTGGTTTTTATTCTATCACATTTCAAATACATTAGATTAAACTGTTTAGCCTCTGTTCTCTATGCATTATGTAAATCAATATAAGTAATAATCTGATCAATGGTTATCTAAATTCTTAGGCTCAGTTACATATCAAACCAAAAATCTGGCTCAAAAACTTTTGCAACTATTCAAAGAAAGATATGTGATTAATGCCACTTTTTGTAGCCTCAGCGCTCAGCTTGGCAAAGGTTATTTATGGGATTAATTAAATCAGCAATGTGCTATTTGCCATGTGTCTGCCATAAAAATAAACTGCTAAAAAGCTCCAAAGAGCACAGGATGCCTGTGGCAAAACCTCAGTCTGAGCAGACAGCCTGATCTCATTTCCAAGTGATCTTTCCACCCTTCTAAAGGGGAATGCACATTTCTGTTGTACAGTGAGTTCTGTCCTAGCTCCTGTGGTTTGAAAATGAACCAGCACACAGCTCAGGGTGTGGGATCAGTGTGGATTTAATTGAGTTGCTCAAAGGTTTTCACTGAGAGGAAAATTTAGATTCTAATTAAAGTATATCAGCTAACTGGACTCTTCATTTTTCCTGGACAGCACTTCAGAGTTCTCCTCTGCCTGACAACATGCTGCAGAGCACTCTGCTGAAATGAAAAAAGCACTTCTAATTTTGTGTGGCAACTTTCTTATGCAAAGTGCTGCCGAGTTCTGGGGAGCTTTAATATTCATATTTTTTTTGTTTTGTACTTCACAGGTTTTAATCTGATAGCAGCACATCAGTGGAAACGAGATTTAAGGGTTGCTAGAGAACCAAGTGTGTCTGCTTTGTGAACTTTATGGAAAACAAACCTGTGCATACACTAGATTTTTATCAAGACATTCTGTAAACAAAGACATCTTTGGTGTATATGAAACTATATTTGAATTACAATTTCCAACATCTTCTATAGGATAATGCATTGAGATTGTGCACCTTTTATGAGCAGCAATTCACAGTGGCATTGTGGCTTGTAAGGGAGGACAGAAACCTGCCACAATTCTGTCATACATTGAGATCATGCTTTCACTCTAAAATGGCTTAAAACCCCACACAGAGTGATGAATGTCATTATCAGAATGAATTTATTCCCTCACATCCATTAAGGACCTAAGGCTCTTGCAAGGTCTTGGCAGATCCTGATTGTTCAAGCCTTTAGCTCTTCCTTCTTTCGTCTGCATGTAATGAGACTCACCATTATTCCTGCACTTTTACAAGACTTTTGGGGGACTCAGAATAGTATTTGTTCTGAATATTTTCCCTGCTGTGACTGGGAAAAGGGCAATAGATGCACTTTGTGGAAAGAGGGAAGCAGGAGAGCAGGGGCTGTAAGAGATGAGCAGGAGCAGTGTGTGGCATTGGCAGTTCTTAATTCCCCTCCTGTGGACACCGGGCTGCATGCTACTGAGGGGAAAAAAAATCAATTAAATGCTTAAGACTGCTAAAATTCTCATTAGCAGCATCTCAAAAGGCTGAGTCAAGCAGGGTAGCAGGGCTTGAAGATGGGGAAAGGGAAATTCCTCTGGAAAGGCAGCAGTTCCTGGGAGTATCCTGGTTATTGGTCTGTACCAACGGATTTCTATTTCTTCCTCTTCTTATTGATCCCTGTAAAATCATGGAGGACTTAAGAGATTTTAGGATGAGTCCAAGTTTCTCTTGCACTTCTCTGTTCTTCAGTTCAGGTAATTGCCTTCCACAGGAAAGGACTTTGATCAGAAAATTACTTTTGTTTTTTCTTTTTACTTCAGCAATCACACATAAGGATATAAAAGCTGATTGAAAAAACCCAGGTTACTTATGCTGTCTCTTAGATAACTTTAAAGAAAACAAAAAAAAAAAAGAGGAAAAATGTTTTTAAGGTCTCTGACACATGAGAAAAGAATCAGTTTTCCCTCTGCATCTCCCAAGTGCTTGGTGTTTCTGCCAGATTTCTGCAGGTTTATGCCCATTCCAGAAAAGGGATTTGTGGCCATTTTGCCATTTTCACAGGTGTGCTGCCCCACTGATTAATCATCCCCATTTTCCCAGCTGCTCCTCCTGGTGGGAATGAGAGGAGAGAAAAAGGGGGTGCAATGGGTGGACAAAATTATTGAGAAACTGCTCCTTCCTCCGCATACCTAAGGAGAAAAAAATAATCTGAATAAAAGCTGTTTGTGTTTTCTGCACAAAAGCCCCTGGCACTATCAAGCACATGGAAAATAAAACCAAGTACCTGGCACAAACTTCTGGGGAGTCTTAAGACCAGAACAAAGCTCCGATCAGCTATTAATATTTCACATAACTGTTCTCCTAACTTCAGTGCTTCCAAAATGGGTATGAAAAATCTTCTTACCATCAAAGGCGGTGAAATAATATGTATTTAATATGCAAATAGGCCTCTGTCTCCTGTTACTCTGATGTTCTACTTCTTAAAAAATGGGCATGTGCAAGCAATATAGGTCACAGTTTAAATGGGAGTAAAAATTGCTCTTCTTGTAATATTCATTGCTATGAAGACAGATTAATAAAATTATAATTTAAATAATAATTTAAGTAATCTCTCTTTTAACAGGAGAAATGTGGGATTAAAACCATATTTTTCTTCTCTCTGTCTTCTTCCCCCAAGTCCCATAGTAAATGTCAGAATATGCTGCACTATTGAAGTTTTCCTTTAATATTTCACTCTGATTCTCAGGAAGGATATTTTGGGAAGCAATCCTCCTTGATTAATCTAGGAGAGAGGTATTTTTTTAAAATATTGACCAGAAGCTGACCTTTAAATGAAGGCAGCTGTGCCAGCCTTGGGGGGAAGCTGTTGTGGTTTGCCAGGTGGCAAAGCTGATGATTTTCTTTTTTTTGTTTTGGTGGTTGCTTATTTTAGAGGGGGTGCTGAAGGGATATTTTAGTTATTTTCTGATCCCCCTGCCCCCCACTCCCCTTTGTTTTGGTGTTGATTTTTTCCTTCCCTCTGCCTTCAAAAACCTTCTCTGAGCCCTTGGTTATTTCCTGGTAGGGAGCTGTACAAGCGGGAGGAATGACTGGGGCCAAAATAAATATGGATTATAACATTACTACCAAGATGTTCTGTCAGGATTAAACACTTTGCTGGAATTACTCTGAGTTTCCAGCAATAGAAATGAGATCAAAATCTACATCTGAAACTGCTGAGAGATTCTTTTCCCTAATGTGATGAAAACTGTCAAGTGCAAAAGAGTTTCTGTCGATTCATGGTGTGACTTCAATGCTGGCTATGCAGAATCAAAACTTGTTTTCCTCAGCTATCAAAATGTTTCCTCATTTTTTGATCTTCTGACAGTAAAATAAATCTTATCTTCTTCACTAACAAGAAAGAGAAAAAGTCTGTCACAAAGGCTGGTAATGCTTTTATGGTTCCTTCAGTGCCGTGCCAGAGAGGAGCTTCAGAGATGTGAGAGAAGAAAACAGAAATTATGTGGCTCAAAGCTCCGAGGAGTTTGGAGCTTCCACAGTTAACAGCATTAAAAATGCTATTTTATTACTGCCTAGAGAGTTCTTGTTTTCTAAATAAAGAAATTAAGTGCTTATTAATGGAGTTTATTTCGAGTAGTAACAATTTTCTGCGATTCTTTTCCCCTGTCACATTATGTAGCATTTAATGGTGTTTGGTTGCAATGTTTTATGCATTTCAGGCTCCTTAACATTTCAAACAACAGAAATTATGGGGAAAGAAGGAAAGCAGTTATCACAAGAGAGGTTTTATGTGCTAAATATGCTGGTAAAAAAAATTAAAGCTCTATAAAATATCAGATCTCATAACATAAGTGAAAAATTAATTAGAAATCCTTCTTTATGAGTTAATGTTATTTACCTAAAAATGACACCTCTTCAAT